TCCAGAGATATTGATAGTGTAGTGCTTACTTCAACTGAAGAGATGGCTACCACATGTTTTTACCAAAATTTACAGAGCACTCAATTTTTTTACCGGCATAAATTGGCACTAGATAATTACTAAATTATGGCATGTGTGCGAAACCAGTCGGTGAATGTTGTACTGATTACTTCAGTGACCTGCTACGGTTTGCGCTGCACCGAACTGACAAAGCGGATGCGCGTGCAGACTAGCGAGCGTCAGCACCTTTTCAGAGGAAATAGCTTTTCGTTGATCGAGAGCCAATTTGTTGAGAAGTCAAGTACTGTTGATTTTGTTGTGACGAAATGGCAAGCGGATGCGCGTGCAGACTAGCGAGCGTCAGCACCTTTTCAGAGGAAATAGCTTTTCGTTGATCGAGAGCCAATTTGTTGAGAAGTCAAGTACTGTTGATTTTGTTGTGACGAAATGGCAAGCGGATGCGCGTGTTGACCAGCGAGGTGTCAGCACTTTACGGAAGGGTATCAACCTCTCGCTGGTGTTAACTTGCACAAGGGTATTATAACTTTGTTCACATAACGGTTGTTTGTAACAGGCAAAACGAATCGAGATAGATATAGACAAATGTATACATAGTAAATGATCCGAATAGAAAGCGAAATCGATTAAGCGGTGACCGTCTGTCCGTCCGACTGTGCACACGATAACTCGAGTAAAAATTGAGATATCTTAACAAAATTTTGTACGTGCACTTCTTTCGGGCGTAGGACGGACGGTATTGAAAATGGGCAAAATCGGACAATAACCACGCCTACCTCCCATATAACGGCAATTTTCAGAAACACGAAAACTACAATATATTAGTAACTACTGAAGATTATTCACTTCAAATTGATATTTACAATAATTTTTAGACGAAAAATAAGAATATTATAAATTTTTTTAACAATGGGCGTAGCCGCGCCCACTTATGGTTACATGTGTATATCTTGGTAACTGCTGCACCAATTTCTTCCGAACTTGGCACAGTTGTTAGCCTTGCAACAGTTTATCAAATGGCCGAAAATTTTTAAAATCGGACAATAACCACGCCCACATCCCATATAACGGTAATTTGGAGAAATACGAAATCCTCGATAAATCAGTAAATATTAAAGCTAATTTATTCAAAATTGATGCTTGAAACAATTCTTTACCAAGAAATACGTTTATGATAAAATTTTGGAAAAAGGGGCGTGGTACCGCCCACTTATGATCACATATATGTATCTCGGTAACCGTTCTACTAATTTATATCAAACTCGGTATGGTTATTCTGCTTGTCACATAAAAGCAAACGATTTCAAATTATTGAAATCGGACTAAAACTGAGGCCGATTTTCATATAACGGTAAATTTCAGAAATGCTTGAAACTTCAATATTCCGAAATTTAAGGACGCCAATTTACTCAAAATTGATATACCCCGGCCTAACATGCTTACCGGTAGCTTTCGGAAAAGTGAATATCATATATTTAATACTTGCGCCGGGTATTTAATGTTCGGCTCCGCCCGAACTTAGATTTTCTTACTTGTTGACTATTCAATAGTCTACATGTAAATTCTAAATTCTACCAAGAGCCACAAAAAAAAAAACAAAAGCAAACATTTGATTTTTAAATAAAATTATTATTAGAAATGAAAAACATTCATTTTATTATTATTCTAATGCACGTAAGATAGATATTAAAGAAAAATAAAAAGATCCCTTTGGCCAAATTTTCAAAATCTGGTTTTACGTCAGTTGAAGCCGTTCGTAACAGTTCTGCTAAATATTGGTTAGCCAATAGGTACGTTCGTTTAAAATGTCCAGTAAAAAATGACCTACAGCAAAATTCCGGCGAAATGACATCTGTTCTCTCACAAGAGAAAAATATCCAAAATAGTACGCGAACAGAAAATTTGCAGAAACTTGCAAGTTAAACGAACATCTGATAGAGATTTTGTTTACATTCAAAAGTATTCAATTGAAAACGCAGGAATACAAATTCCGAAGTCTTATCCTGACTAAATGAATAATTACTTACTTCTTACAAGTTTAATTAGTCGCAATTTACTATTTCCTCCAAACCATCAAATTTAATTCAGGCAATTGCGTAAATTCCAACCAGCTGTTTTTGATCACCTGTTTTCTTGTTGGCTAAAATTTTTCCAGCAAAAACTAGCAGCTTTCCCTCAAAATGAAATGTCATTTTGCTCTCTCAATTTCCCCTACATTGCAAGTTTGTTGCGTACGCGAACGCAAAAAGCTGATACTTTTTATAACTTTCAATAATTATCAGGTACGCGAATGCAACTAATTGTGAACGGTATTTTGACTTTACGAAATTCATTTTAGAGTACAAAGACTCACATTTACGCTACGCGCACCCTGCAGCCGGCATCGGCCGAATTGTGCTCTGCCGATATCGGCTATATGCGGGCGATATGAATAAACACTTGTGATTATGTGAGCGCTTTCATACCGTTGACGTCCGTCAGTGACAAAAAAAAATTAACTTATTGGATGCAAAACAAAAAAATTACCCATAAAATCACATGTTTAGAGTATGTCAATTTGTGCGTACAAATACGGTCGGCAAATAATCTGGTTAAGTGTGCGCATCAGTTCGGACGGTCAAATTGTTCGGTCGAAATCAGTCGGCCTATCGGATGCAATGTGCACCTAGCGTTATACGTTGTACCAAAAATTGAAAATATACGGCACGCAGCCGTTTTCAACAGTGGATATTGAAAAACTGGTACTTGTTGCCGGAATTCAAGCAATGACAAAGCTTTATGTTGCATTTCAGTGCCTTATCTTCTTTTAATTCCAAAAACTCTAACTCTTCTGCGCTTTACTAAAAAATAGTGTTTCGGATATTGTGAATTCAGCCTCAAATATATTACTAATAAAAAAGGGTTTATGAAGTATGCAAACGTACATTTAAATAATTTCAAATCGGCAATTTTTTTTTCAAAATCTGCTTTTAAATAATGTGCAATATTTTTTCTGATCATGGAAAATTATGAAATATTCTTTTATTGAGATCACGAATAAAAAGAATTAGTTTAGTTTCAAAACTTTAAATAATTTACGACAAATCAAAAACATTTTTATTCTCTCCTAGTAGAGACAAATTCAAGTTTTGTAAATGTTCCACCATATCGGTAAAGAACATTAAGTCAGAAACCCAATTTTCATTCTCTAATTGCGGGTAATGTTGCGATCTTAACTTGCGCATGTGTATATAAAAATAATAAAATAAAGAAACAACGCAATGGAAAAAAATGTCCTGCAAAGAAATGTGTACTTTAAAAAGTAAAAAGAGCCAAAATGTTCTAAGCAAAGAGGAAGTAAAAAGAGCCGCACTTTGCCAAGCAAAGAGCCGCATTTGGCTCAAAGAGCCGCGTTTGCCCACCGTTGGTCTATAAGAATTTATTGTTTCATTGACTTAATAAACCAAATGCAAATACAAACAAACCTGAGCAAACCTGGTTCGAATTGCAGCTGCCGCAAAATTTTAATTTTTTAAAAGAGACTAGTCGCTTTTTATACCCGTTCGGGTATAAAGGAGAGCAATTAGTCTCTTCATAGGACATGTTCTAACAAAATCGAACAGTTCATTCCATATAAAGAGATCAAAAATGGTATTAAATAGTCGCATGTTCCTTTGCGATTGCTACCGGAGTCATCCCGGATTAGTCGCACTTTTTGCAGGGTTATAACAGAAATGAATCGATACATGAAAGTCGGATACGCATACTTACGTACATACACATGTAGCTATAAGGACCTTTTTGGGTATACCTATGTATATACTTAAGCAGGGATCACACGATTTGTACATTTTTATAGATTTATACATTTTCTGAGTTGCAGAGTGGTGTTGGAAAGTTGTTACTAAGCTCAAAACATTATTTCTAGACAACACCATTCTGTGAGTGCCAAAATGTACAAATGTTCAAATCGTGTGATACCTATTTTAGATATAACTATGTATATTAGGGTGGTCCAAAATAAGTAAAGTCGGAATTTTAATGCCCTGGGATTGTTCTATATCGAGAAAATATACCCCTATTTTTATTTTGAAATCAAAAAATATTTATAGGTCGCTCAAAGCGCTCAAAGTTTTCCATATATTTTATACGAAAAAAAAACAACTTTTTGTATGAATGGTATAGAATTCTTAATTCTTTCTCTTCAGGAGACTTCGAATAACAATACCCAGTTGTTTATTTAACTAGTTTTTAATACTTAAGACTTTTTATTTAGAACAATCTTAGGAGGTGAGAGCATAAAAATTCCGATTTTACTTTTTCACGTGCATTTTTGGACCACCCTAATGTATATATGAAACGTTTGTAATTCAGCGCGTCTAGTACAGAAGCACGTATGGCTTCAAGAGTTGCAACAGAGTTAGTTTCACAAAGGCTTGTAGTCCTCTTTTGCTTCCATGTGCGAATGCATTTATATCTATTGTTGCTGCGTGTCATTGCTAAGTTATTAAAAGTAAATTAGAAATAAATTAAACACACTGTAAGGATATAGAGAAGAATTAGCTTTTGTTAATATTGCTTTGAGATTAAATGAATTTTCAGAACAAAGGATTTAAAAAGAGTTGAAAAGTAAACCAAATAATTTATATTCCCTGCTAAGTGAAAAACTCTAAACTGATGAGCTGTAAAGCGAAACCAATCTTTTTATCCTTTAGTAAAATTGCACTGCTTTCTAGTCGTTTAAAGTACAAAGCCGCGTTGCCAAATTTAACAGTAGAGCGTAAAAACTGTATTATTTCAAAACAAGCAAGACCATTTCAGGCAAGTTTTATAAATCCATATTTTGGTACGAATGGATAAGGTTTCTTGCCAGGAGCTTCCGGTGAGCAAATCTTATTTTGTGTACAAATATGAGTTTTGCAGAACGACGATACGCGGTTTTGTACTTTGAACGACGAAGTAAAGAAAACCTAAAATAAAAAATGTTCTACTTTTCCTTTTAGCTGACCTCAAGTACACTGACAATCAACGCGTTATCATCCATGTGAAGGATGTCAACGATGAACCGCCCTATTTCATTAATCGCCCATTGCCTATGCAAGCGGTAGTACAACTAAATGCTCCACCCAATACACCCGTATTCACATTGCAGGCGCGGGATCCCGATACCGATCATAATATACATTATTTTATAGTACGAGATCGTACTGGTGGTCGCTTCGAGGTGGATGAACGTTCTGGTGTAGTACGTACACGTGGCACTGATCTCTTTCAATTGGATATGGAGTATGTCTTATATGTCAAAGCTGAGGATCAAAACGGCAAAGTTGATGATCGTCGCTTCCAGAGCACACCCGAGGAACGGCTATCCATTGTGGGTGGCAAGCGCGCTCCTCAGTTTTATATGCCCAGCTACGAGGCGGAAATACCGGAGAATCAGAAAAAAGATTCAGAGTAAGTAGGAACAAAATTATGAATATAATGAATGATATTTGCAAAAACAATTTTTATATTAGTGATGGGCGAGTCCAAGATGTTTTAGTCGATTGTTCAAACATTTCGATTGTTCTCGATGTTTTCTCTCGTAGACGAATTTCCACTCGAAAATAGTCGTGCTTAAGCTGAAGCAACATATTCGCTAACAATCGACCAAATCATCTCGGCGTCCCTGCTGGCCAGCGGTTTTTAAAACATCTCGATGGTTCTCTGTCGCAGACTCTGGCACAGTGTTGGCGCGAATCCTTTTTAGTGGTAGCCAAATTCCTTTAAAAAAAGGACTAAAAAGAGCTAAAAAGTCGTTGTGGCTAAAAATGGTAGCTAAAATTTTTTACTTACATGTACATATCAGGGTTGTTGCGAATATTCGCATTCGCAACCGCGGAGCTTCCGCATTAATTTTAACATTCGCATTGGCTTTCGCATTCGCAATATTCAATGCGGAGCTTTTGCGAATGCGAATATTGTGCAAGTGCACCGATGAAACGTATATCTGGCAAACAAAATAAAAACTTTACCTAATATCTTTGGCCTGTGGAGATGCTACGTTAAAACTGTCCCTCTAAATCCCCCCTCTTTTATAATTTAAAGTCAAGTAAGATACTTAGATAGCTATTTCCAGCGGAAATGTTCAACGTCTAGCTATAACGAGAATCGACAATTTGCGCGGTAAATCATAACCTTTCATTAGGTAAGAATTATGTAACTATCGAACATTAAAAAACTGGATGCATCGCTAGTTTTTTTCGACATATATGTAATTTTTTTTTTCATAAAACGGCTTATTATGATTAAGTTCCATGTTTTCTTTTATTACTTAGCCGAGAAACACTGTTTTTACTACGCAAAGTAAAATGGAATGTGAAAAAGTTGACAGCCAAGTTCACAAATCAAATAAGAATCATTTCAAGCCGAATTTAATATTTATTGAGGCGTGGGACTTGGAACGCAATATATCGTTACGATAGTATGAAAAGGGCGTAACTCACCTCGTCGGTGAAATACAAAAAGCCGTAACTAACTAAAAATTCAAAATTCACTGTTTGATAGATTATGATGCATTTCATCGAATCATAAGTCGTGGGGATCGTTTTATGCAATAACAAGATTTTAGTTAGTTGTTGCTTTTTTGCATTTCAGCCACAATGTATATATACCATACTACATTAAGGATATGTTGAAAATTTGCGTACATTTGCCTCAAAATATCAAAGCACATTGAGAACAGGAATGAAAAAAACAAAACGGATTTGATATGGTACTGACAGCGGTGAGTAAGTAATTGTGACTTACTGCAACTAGGAAAAGTCGATCTCAGCTAATAAAAAAACTAATTAGAAGCTATTCATTACAGGTGAACCATTTTAAAAAGTCACCCGGGAACTAAGCAGATCTCAGACCTTCATCCACGATTCCAATAATTCAAATTATTATAAGAAACGGGGTTCCTTTTTAAAAAAAAAAAAAAACAAGACTTTAAACTAATTCTGCTGGCAGCCACGACTTTAGAACTGAATTTTCTTCGAAATTTTCATGCTCAGAAAATTTTCCATATCCACCTATTTACAACCTCGCTATAAGCACACATTTTTCAAACCAGTCACAGCAGAAAATACTAAAAGTGAGTTACAAAAACTAAAATCGAAAATCGCTGATGTTACAGGTTCTCCAAATTCTGAAACAACCAAAATAATTAGAATGAAGAATTCTATGGAAAATAACGGTGTTTAAACAACGATCTTTTCATGGTGCTAGATTGTGAAGATGAAAGGCACAGTTGCAGNGAGAAACACTGTTTTTACTACGCAAAGTAAAATGGAATGTGAAAAAGTTGACAGCCAAGTTCACAAATCAAATAAGAATCATTTCAAGCCGAATTTAATATTTATTGAGGCGTGGGACTTGGAACGCAATATATCGTTACGATAGTATGAAAAGGGCGTAACTCACCTCGTCGGTGAAATACAAAAAGCCGTAACTAACTAAAAATTCAAAATTCACTGTTTGATAGATTATGATGCATTTCATCGAATCATAAGTCGTGGGGATCGTTTTATGCAATAACAAGATTTTAGTTAGTTGTTGCTTTTTTGCATTTCAGCCACAATGTATATATACCATACTACATTAAGGATATGTTGAAAATTTGCGTACATTTGCCTCAAAATATCAAAGCACATTGAGAACAGGAATGAAAAAAACAAAACGGATTTGATATGGTACTGACAGCGGTGAGTAAGTAATTGTGACTTACTGCAACTAGGAAAAGTCGATCTCAGCTAATAAAAAAACTAATTAGAAGCTATTCATTACAGGTGAACCATTTTAAAAAGTCACCCGGGAACTAAGCAGATCTCAGACCTTCATCCACGATTCCAATAATTCAAATTATTATAAGAAACGGGGTTCCTTTTTAAAAAAAAAAAAAAACAAGACTTTAAACTAATTCTGCTGGCAGCCACGACTTTAGAACTGAATTTTCTTCGAAATTTTCATGCTCAGAAAATTTTCCATATCCACCTATTTACAACCTCGCTATAAGCACACATTTTTCAAACCAGTCACAGCAGAAAATACTAAAAGTGAGTTACAAAAACTAAAATCGAAAATCGCTGATGTTACAGGTTCTCCAAATTCTGAAACAACCAAAATAATTAGAATGAAGAATTCTATGGAAAATAACGGTGTTTAAACAACGATCTTTTCATGGTGCTAGATTGTGAAGATGAAAGGCACAGTTGCAGCGCCGATGCAATTCTCAGAAAGGAGTTATTGGGGAGAATTTACAATTTTGTCAAGTTTCAAGTTATTCGCCTTGCGCGAGTAGTTATTTAGTGGCGCAGGTTTGATTTACGACACTTTAAGAAACAGGCTTTAACCCAATTTCAATTTTTAAATTCAAGTACTAAATTAAAAAAAAAAAACATTGTTTAAAATGACTACCTTTTCCATTTTTTATTTACCTAAATCACCTAATTGACACACCTAAATTATTTTTTTAAAATACTTGATATCCGCATTCGCATCCGCGGATGTTAGCTTTTAAACATCCGCATCCGCATTCGCATCCGCGGATGTTTAAATTCCACATTCGTAACATCCCTACTACATATATAAGTGTACACGCAAGCATTTTCAATAAGTAATGGTATAGAAAAACAATGAACTCTGGAAAAAAGCACATATTTTATCCAACCAAAAACCTTTTTGTATAAAAGGGGAAATATACGACACAAGCTTGCTGGCTCCAGCATATAACTTACCAGCATGCTGGTACAATATTTATTTATTTACAAATGAGGTCGAGGAAAGATCGAAATGCTTAGAGCCGAAATTTCATAATGTGTCTACCATTTTGTTAAACATTGTTTTTTTTTTTT